CTCAATTGCAGCGCTCGCTGCGTCGCATCTGCCCGCACGACACGCACACATCAGTCTCTGTGTGCCGTCGCGCGTGTGCGATTGTGCGCGTGCGATTGTGTGTTCGATTGTGCGCGTGCGGTGGTTTGGTGGGAGGGGGGTAATCGTACTGCGTGCGGGGTGCGGCGACGACAGGATGGCGAGAACGTGGGAGACGATGCTCGTGGCGCAGTCCTTCCACAGGCACGACGCGAGCGCGGGGAACGCGAAGGCGACGCTCTCGAGCAGGTGGTGGAGCGGCCGCCCCCAGGCCGGGCTGTGGACCTGGCTGTTGCGCTCGAGCCCGTGCACGATCAACCGACGCACGGCGGCGTAGTGCGGCAGCAGGTGACGCCCCACACTGCGTGGAATGCGATGGAATGCAGGGGTGCGTAAGGGAATGTCGGGAATGTGCAGGGGGCGTGTGGTGTGGTGTGGTGGAATGCGAGGCAGGCACAGCGCGCACATACCTCACGACCAGGGAGCTCAGCAGGCGATAGGCGTGGGCGTGCAGGCTCGGCAGAATCGTCCACAGACCCAAACGGTTGCGGTCAAGCGAGTCCTGTGCGCGTGTGCGGTTGTGCGGTGGTGCGTGTGCGGTGAGCGACACGGCGCGTACTGTGTGGCTGTGGCTGTGTGTGTTGTGCGCGCGTACGAAGTGGGCCGACGCGGGCGAGAGCGAGAGGACACGGCCGATGAGGTCAAGCAGGTGCGGAATCGGGACGGGCACCGCGCGCACCGGCTGATTGGCCGGCGGCGCGCCCAGGCAGTGCCTCAGCGCCGTGAACAGCCCGACCAGCCGCCGCTCCAGCACCACGCTCGGCACTGTACATTCCATGACACGTCAGCTGCATACCTGAGCTACAAATACCAATGGAATGTGCATACCAGTGGTCCTCCGCGACGGAAGCTGGAATGCGGGGGGCAGGCCCCGGCGCAGGTTGATGGGCGCGTTCAGGTGGTCCGCTGGGTAGCAGGTGTCGAGGAGGCCGTGGATGGTCGCCATCGCGCTGCCCACGAGCCTGGGCCACTCCTCCACGCCGCTGCACCAGGGCCGCACCGACAGACACTCGGCCGCGGCCTGCCCACTCTCCCGTCAGCGTGTGCGGTGGAGGGTGTGCGGTCGTGTCGTGTCGTGTCGTGTGCGTGTGCGGTGGTGCGTGTACCCTGCGGACGTTGGGGTGGGGAGAGTCGAGAAGGTGGACGCAGGTCTCTTCCACGATGGCGCCCTGCGGCCGGAGGGTGGCGCCCAGCGCCTGAAGGCACGCCATGGCGCCCTCCACCACACCAGCCATGTGGCTGGTGTGGCTCTGCAACACACACAACACACAACACACACCGTGGCGTGAATCGACTGCACCCACAGATTTGCGCTCAGCGAGATCTACGCACCTGCTTGGACTGCGCGGCGATGTGGTTGAACTTGCGCACGAGCTGCTTGATGGCCTTGAGGAGGGTCGAAGGCGCCACCAGCAGCTCGCGCTTGAGCTGCTCGTCGCGGCCCACCACCTGGGCCACCACCCCCAGCGTCTGCGCCGCGCTCGCCACCACCCCCTCCGCCTCCGCTTGCTGCACCACCGCACACCACACATCACCTCATTAGACAACAACGCACCACCGCACACGCACACGCACCACCGCACACACACGACACACGACGACGTACGGTGAAGAGGGCGAGGAGGACTTCGAGTACGCCGCCGCAGGCGGGGGTGGCGGAGGTGAGCAGCCGGAGCACCTTCCGGCGGTAGCGCTCGTCGCCGTCGGCCGCGGGGGAGGCGCCCTCGTGCAGGGCCGCGGTCACCACCTGCCGCAGGGCCTCGGCCGCCGTGTCGCGGGCCTTGGCCGCGGCCGCGGCACGCCGGGACTGCTGCACGGTGGGGGTGGTGGTGACAGCGGCGTCGGTCGAGGCGTCATCGGCCACGGCGGGAGTCGAAGCCGCGGCCGAAGATGAAGATGAAGATGAAGGTACGAGGAGGACGGAGCGGAGGCGATGGAGGAGAGCGAACCAATCGACGGACGGGTCGGAGATGAGCTGGGGCCAGCCCTCGAGCAAACAGGCGAGCCGATTGAATCGGCCCGACGCGTCGACCGCTAGATCTCCGGCGGCGACTTGCCATACATTCGGCCCGTGTAGAAGTGCACCGGAATCCATTTCGCTTTGAATTGAATGAAAGTAAAAATCACTTCAAATCACCTCCAAAATGGGTCCTCAATCGCTCCACGTTCGCGGTTCGATCGGTTCTGCGTTTTTTAGCAGATTAAAAAAGGAAATCGGAATTTATTTGTTTCTCGCGGTCGACAGGAAAACATTTGATTTCGGTTGGATTTGTGATTGTTGGATCGGCGCCGAAAGAGAACGAGGCCGCAACGCTGCCAGCGTAGAAGATGGAGGAAAAGGAGTTGTATCCATATGGCCTCAAGAAATCGGTGCTCAAGGAGCTGGTCAGCGAGCAGGAGATCCCCAAGCGCCTGTACGTCTCCCCCCCAATCACATTCTTTCTCTTCCATCTCTTTTTCTGTTGCGAATTAGCGCCGTTGAGAACGGTGGCCTACGCCCGCACTGGCGTCAGCCATTTCCTTCAATTTACGGTCATTTTCGAGCCGGGCGTGATTTTAATTTTCACCATCTCATCCGCGCGTACCATCATCTGCCATGACCTGGGCTGCAGGAGCGAGATCAGCTTCGGGCTGTTTTCGCCGTCGGAGATGCAGCGCTTGTCGGAGATCCAGGTCGTGAGCCACCTCCTCTTCCAGCTGCCCAAGCGCGAACCCATGCCCTACGGCCCGCTCGACCCTCGCATGGTACACTACACACACAACACACAGTCAGGCACTCATGACCACACGACACACGGCGCGCGCGCGCGCCCACACACACACGCACACACACAACTCACATTTTGCGTGTGTGTGCGTGCGTGTAGGGCGTGTGTAATACCAAGGGCATCTGCTCGACGTGCGGTCAGAAGGTGCAGGAGTGTGCCGGCCACTTTGGTTATATCAAGCTGGCTCTGCCCGGTACGCGATCCTTAATCCATTCACATTGTGTGTGTGTGTCGCGAGTGTCGCGAGTGTCGTGTCGTGCGTGTCGTGCGTGTGTCACTGACATATGCGCCTCTGCTGCAGTGCTGCACGTGGGCTACATGAAGCAGATCCTCACGCTGCTGCAGATGATCTGCAAGTACTGCAGTCGGGTGAAGCTGCCCGACGCCGTGCGCCGCCACTTTCTGCGCGAGATGCGGGCCAAGCCCGACGTGCTCCAGAAGCGCGCCTTCTACAAGGAGGTGGTCGAGCGGGCCAAGAAGATCAAGACCTGCCCCTACTGCGGCTGCGCCAACGGCATGGTGAAGAAGGTGGGCGCGCTCAAGCTCGTCCACGAGCGCTTCCGCGAGAAGCAGCACATCGACCGCCGGCGCCAGTTCCTGGGCGAGTTCGACGAGGCCGTCAAGCTCGACGAGTCGCTGGCGCCGCACCTCAACAAGGCCCAGGACGACCTCAACCCCATCCGCATCATGAACATCTTCTCGCGCATTCCGCCCGAGGTCCGCACCACTCACGCGCAGCCCTCCCTCGTGCGTGACGTCACACCCACCCGCACAGTCATGCTGACGTCAGCAACGTGTATGTGTGTGTGTAGGATTTGGAGTTGATGGATATGAACGGCAAGATCGCCAATCCTACACACTTGGTGCTGCAGCATCTCCTCGTGCCGCCCATTACCATTCGACCGTCCGTTGCCATGGACGCCTCGCAGGGCAGGTACGTCATTTTTGCTCTGACCGCACGCACACACGCTGCACCCACCGCACACGGCACGACACGACACGACACGGACGGCGATCGGCCCGGCTAACGCTGTGACTGGCCATCGTCGTACTGGCCATCGTCGGTGATGATAGTAACGAGGACGACTTGACCATGGGGCTGGGCAAAATTCTGAACATAAACAACGCCCTCGAAGCGGAGCTGGAGAAGGGGAACAACATGCCGCAGATCATGGAGAAGTGGGACGCGCTCCACATCAACGTCGCTTTGTACATCAACTCGGAAACGCCCGGCATCCCGCCCACCATCGTTCCCGCCAAACCCACGCGCGGTACCACCTCCTTCATTCTTGACATTCCTTGTGTGTCGTGTGCGTGTCGTGTCGTGTGTCGTGGTCGTGTCGCGTTGCGCTCGGCTGCTGACAGCCGAGTGGTGTATGAATAGGTCTGTGTCAGCGGTTGAAGGGCAAGAAGGGTCGATTCAGGGGCAACCTGTCGGGCAAGCGTGTGGACTTTTCGGGCCGCACGGTGATCTCGCCCGACCCCAACCTGCGGATCGACGAGGTGGCCCTGCCCGAGCTGCTGGCCAAGGTCATGACCTACCCGGAGCGGGTCAACGCCAAGAACATCGACAAGATGCGCAAGCTCGTCCTCAACGGCACCGACAAGTGGCCCGGCGCCAACGGCATCATCCCACGCGACGGCGGCAAACTGTACGTTCCTTATTTATTTATCTATTTATTATTTATTTGCATGGGAAGATATTTTATTATTAATTATTAATTATCACAATTTGTCGTGCGCGTATTGTGCGCGATTGGCTCACCCGACGTTGTGGATGCGCTGCTGTACAGCTCTCTTAAGTTTGGCGACCGGTCGCGAGCGGCGAATAACCTGCGCATCGGCGACATCGTGGAGCGGCACCTGCTGCACGGCGACGTGGTGCTGTTCAACCGACAGCCGTCGCTCCACAGGATCTCGATCATGTGCCACCGCGTGCGGGTCATGCCCTGGCGCACGTTCCGCTTCAACGAGTGCGTGTGCGGCCCCTACAACGCCGATTTCGACGGTACCGCCAAGCTCAGTGTCACGTACACTGCCGCCCGGAAATGGAGAATTGAATGTGTGTCATGTTGTGTCGTGTGTTGTGTCGTGCGTTGCGTGTCGTGCGTGTCGTGCGATGCAGGTGACGAGATGAACGTGCACGTGCCGCAGACGGAGGAGGCCCGAGCGGAGGCCATGACCCTCATGGCCGTGAACCAGAACCTCATCACACCCAGGAACGGTGAGCCGCTCGTCGCCGCCACACAGGTACGTGCGCTCTCTCACTTTCTCACCCGTTTGATCTACCGCACACGCACACGCACACGCACCACCGTCACCGCACACGCACGCACACGGTTACATGTGTTATCATCACCGCATGAAAAAAACTAACGTCGATGAGGGCCACCCGATTAGGATTTCTTGACGGCGTCGTATCTGGTGACGCGGAAGGACGCCTTCTTCGACCGTGCCGAGTTCTGTCGTCTGTGTTCGTTCTTCGTCGACGCCGACGCCAAGATCGACATCCCTCCGCCCGCCATCGTGAAGCCCATGGAGCTGTGGACCGGTTCGTCGCTTTCGTTCTTTTGGCTACTCCTCGCTTTCGTTTATTATTCTAAATTATATTATCGTTTTAATCGTTGACATACTTAATTTATTTATTTCCTATTATCAGGAAAGCAATTGTTCTACATTTTGCTGCGACCAAACAAAAACGTGGACGTGTGCCTGTCGATGGAGGTCAAGGGCCGCGAGTACACGGGCAAGGGCAGCTACGAGCCGCTCTACATGTGCCGCAAGGACGGCTACGTGGTGTTCCACCAGAGCGAGCTCCTGTGCGGCATCATGGACAAGAAGACCCTCGGCGGCGGCAGCAAGGAGAACATCTTCCACGTGCTCATGCGCGACTACAGCACCATCGTGGCTGCCGACCGCATGTCTCGCCTGGCCAAGTTCTGCGCTCGCTGGCTCGCGTACGCCAAATACCTTCATTCCTTTCATTCCGCACACACACACCACACACGCGCGAAGACTCATATCAGTTTTCGTGTATATACAGGGACTGGGGATTCTCGATCGGCATTTCCGACGTCATGCCCTCGGACAAGCTGAAGCGCGAGAAGGACGAACTCATCCAAACCGCCTACGCCGAGTGCCGGACCCTCATTTCCGAATACAAGAGGTGCGCGTTTGGTGCGCGTTCGTTTTATTTATTAATTACTATTTTCGGTCATTTTAATCATTTATTTTAATTTATTTGATGATAATTGATTTAAAAAAACAAAATGTGGTGTCGCGCAACAGTGGCAAGCTGCAGCCGCAGCCGGGATGCAACGTGGAGCAGACGCTGGAGGCGCAGCTCAACAAGATCCTGTCGGACGTGCGAGAGGCGTGCGGCACGGCCTGCATCAACGAACTCCACCCGCTCAACGCGCCCCTCATCATGGCCCTCTGCGGTACTTGACCCCCCCCTCCGACACACCACACGCCGCCAATGGCTCACGACACGACACACGACACGACACACGACACGCAACACAGGTTCGAAGGGTTCGAACATCAACATTTCGCAGATGATCGCGTGCGTGGGCCAGCAGACGGTGAGCGGCAGTCGCGTGCCGGAGGGCTTCATCCACCGCACACTGCCCCACTTTGGCGTCAACGCGCGCGACCCCGAGGCCAAGGGCTTCGTCAAGAACTCCTTCTTCACCGGTACGCCTGCCGCACGACACTCACCGCACACGCACACGCACACACCGCACGACACTCACCGCGCACACATGGCACGCGTCTCACATTCCTGGAATATTTGTGTGGTTGGCTCGGTGCGCAGGCTTGACGGGCACGGAGTTCTTCTTCCACACGATGGGAGGCCGCGAGGGTCTGGTCGACACTGCCGTGAAGACCGCCGAGACCGGTTACATGCAGCGGTACGCCATAATGCTCGGCCGCCCGTGCGTGCACGCGTGTGTCGTGTGTGTGTCGTGTTGCGCTGATGCTCAACCAACCCGCGCGTGCGTCGTTTGTTTGGTGAACGGGCGCAGACGTCTGATGAAGGCGCTGGAGGACCTCGCGGTGCAGTACGACGACACGGTGCGAAACTGCAGCGGCGGTATCGTCCAGTTCGTCTACGGCGACGACGGCCTCGATCCCACCGGCATGGAGGGACGCGACAAGCCCGTCGACTTTAGCCGAGTACGCCACCGCACGACACTCACACCGCACTCGCCGCACGACACGACACGCACCGTAATGACACACGCTGTGTGTGCGCGCGCGCGCAGGTGGCGATGCACATCAAGGCGATGCTGCCGGCCAACGGCGAGCGGGGCCTGACGCCGTGGGAGATGACGCAGCGCGTGGACAAGGCGCTCAACTCGCCCATGTTCCGGGGCGGGATCACGCAGGGCGTGCGCGACAAGGCCTGCTCGGCGCTCTTCATCGACGACATCCGCCGCTACCTGCTCGGCGGCCTCCTGCCCCAGCGCGACGCCGACCCGCCCAAGTACTTCAAGGGCTGCCTCGACGCCCTCGTCGCCACACGGTACACGACACGACACGACACGCAACACAACACAACACAACACGACCAACGACACGACACGACACAACACGCGCTGACATGACGTACACAGGAAACGCTTTGGGCTGGACGCGTGCGAGAAGACGCAGGAGCCGAACCCGGAGCGGGAGGAGGAGAACTGTGCGCGGGTGTGGTACGAGTCGATGAACTGCGTCGAGCGAGCGCCGGCGGACGAGAAGGAGAAGGACCGCGCGGCGCGCGAGCGCGCACTGGCCGACCGCCAGCGCGAGAAGGCCACGCTGCTGGCCGAGCGCGGCATCGACTTTACCCTCGCATTCCCTGAATTCTTTGCCGCGCTGCCGGCCGACGTCCGCGCCCAGCGCCGCATCGCACACACCAAGGCCGTCGACGGGTACACTCACCAACCGCACACCACACTCACCGCACACGCTCACCAACCGCACACGCACACGCGCACGACACGACACGACACGCACAGCGTGTTGAGCTGGACGGCGAGGCA